GTTAAGTCTCTAAACCTTTGGAAAACTCAACTCTCTAGAACAGTTAGTTTGTGAGAATCTTACATGCCTTGAGCAGAGAAAACAAATTATGGTTTTGTGTATTTGCCCCAAATTGAAGGTCACAACGGCAGGTATGTGGAATTATAGGTGTTGATTTGTTAGTGAATAGTGTACTCTAGGTGTGAACAACAATCAACGGTTTATTTATTTAGAATTCGTTGACTCTTCCTCAGGAAAGGCCAGTAGCTAATGTCATCATGCAGTAAAGCAGCAACAGCATGGAAAAGCATGTGTACAGTTTTTAGATTGGCTAATATTAATTTTGTACCTGCTGTATTACCTAAACCCCTAGATGTAGAAGACTTTATTTTTTTTAACCTATCTAAAGAATGGTTGCGGTAGAAGACTTAAAAATCATTCACAAATTAATATGCTGAAAATATCTTTCTCAAAAGTTTTACATCAGTGAAATATGATTAAACTGATTTTTTTAAAAATAATGGCACTTTGATTTGCATTATGCAGCTAAACCAAAAAAAAAAAAGCTGAGAAATTTTCAAATGTTTATTTAATCCTCACATGGTTGCAGTCTATAAATGTATACTTGGTTTCATATTTTAAAGATTATGCTTTTAAAAAAGTTTAAAACAAATTCTTTTACCTTTTTTTCCTTTTTATTATAATGACCAGATTTTGGTATTTCATTGTTACTGAGATCTATTTTTAGAATAAACTTTGTTCTTCATCTAAACGTTAAAAAAAATTATCCTTTTTAAGTAGGCCGGAATAGATTAAAGTGGAATCAACATTTTACTTTTAATCATAGTCTTAAATTTGAATTGATTATAATTTTTCATTCTTATGAACTTTAAATTTAAATTTTATATAAAGTTATTGATTTGCCAAAGTTAACTTCTCTGTAAAAGGTGAGCATTTATCATTCACCTACTAGCAGTATGCTCGGTGCTCAGTGTTTTTGATTAGGGTAATAAAAAGAATGTAGGGGGTAAAAAAGAAAGAATATAGGTCCCCCCCATGAAACATTTTTTTAAAAAATAAAATGACAAATTTGAATAATATTTAGTAGTACTTAAGGATTATTTACTCTAGAATCATTAAGGAGCAATTTCAGAATCATTCACATAATCAGTGATTTTCTTCTTAGTAGAACTCTACTTTTTGTACTTTTATACATGGTCATCTCTGCTGGTTTAGTTTCCTCACATAAAGAACAATAAACTGTATCTTGCATCTTTTTATTCATTTGTTTTAAAAGGGAGGTGAGGGACTCTTTGCCCTGTAATACTGTTTCCTAAATCTAGAGGAAAATTAAGCACTTAGAATGACTAATATACATATATACATATTTTGTATGTGATGTTAAAAGAAAAACTTTAGACAAATTAAATTTAGTAGAGTTTATCTGAGCAAGGAAACAAATCAGGCAGCACACTGAACCAGTAAATGTTCAGAGGCTCCACCCACCAAGTGGGCAGGACGCATTTATTTATTTATTTATTTATTTTTGTCTTTTGTCTTTTTCCGTGTCTGGCAACGGATCACAACCCTCAGTGTTGCCCCCGCACCGGACCGGGGACCGGCAACAGGATCGCAACCCTCGGTGCTGCTCCCGCGCCT